ACTTTCGGAACCAACCAATCACATTTAATTGCTGCCCAGCCGCTCAGCGAGCGGCTGTAGTACCGAATGCGCTCATGCGTTCTCGCGCGTTCCTGCCTTTATTTCGTCTCCCACCCCCCACCACCCCGCGCGCGGTCGCGAAAAGTTTGCGGCGCGACGACGCGAGACGCCGCCAGTGGCGCCGATCGTGGGGCCTTACGTCGCCGCGCCAATGGCAGCCTTGACAAATACATGATGGCCGTTGCCACCGAATAGTGTAACGCGTACATGATACCCGTCGTGTAACTGAAAGGTTTATTATTTTCAGTGGAGTATCGTCGTCGCGCGTGCTCCGTGTGCGTTTGTTTTCCCGACGGCGTGGTCGCGGCGGTACGCGCCCGGGTACGCGGGATCGCGCGCGGCTTAGTCGCGCGCGGGCGCCGAAAGATTCCCAGGAGGAAAACACGGGGTGGCCAGAGCCCCGCGTACGCGGTGCCGTAGGTAATATTGACGATTTTTCGGGGCCGCGACGCCGCGCGCACTTATCCGCGTCCGGCGGCGGGGCCGTGCACGCGCGTCGTCGCGGCGCCGCGCGGCCCGGCACCCCGCCGCGCGCGATTGGCGGCCCCCGGTGGGCCCCGGGGTCGCCGTGTGCTCTCCGAGTGCTCTCTTTTGTTTACGCCTTGTCAGTCGACGGGGCTCCCGGGGGGGCGACCCCTTTCGTTGTGCGCGACTCCGCGCGCCGACCTGCACCCGCGAGTGAGAGCTGTGCCGTGCGTGATTTCCCACGTCCCGCATTGCGTGTGTTGGTGGCACGTAGTACCTCTCGCACACAGGCGCGCGCCTGCCTATAACCTCAAAATATGCTTCCAGCTGGCCCGAATTCTCGCCCGGGCCAACCGAATCGCCATCCCGGAATCCCCCGGTCCACCCGAGAATCACCGTACGGCCCGGGAGTTCGTCGCGGTCACGGGGCACGGTGGGCCACGGCGGGTGCTCGGCCGCTCGGTGACACGTTTACCACCGCGTTTCCCCAGATTCTCTCGCGTATCCCCTCCGAGGCGAGCCCCCGAGATTCCCGCCGATCTGATCGCCCGATCCGCGGAAAGCGTCTAGGCTAGTTGGCGTCTTCGCGCGAACGCTCGATCCGCCGACGGCTAATCGGGGTCTCCGTTTCTTCTTTGCAGGACGGAAGTCGCGGTGGCGAGATCTGCGCCCGTAGAAAGGCTGGCGCGCGGCACAGCGACGACAGAGAGACCTTTTGTCCAGAGAAAAGGATTGCTGCGACGGACATCGCGTGGGTGAAGGCGTAATGTTGTGACATTACACTCTACGCCATTTGACAAGTATTCAAGAATGTCTGTGAGTTACTTCCTGGACCTGGGATAGCGAGTGGAATGTAACACGAGAGAACTGTTTATTCGTAAAGTGATATATATCCTGTTTGACACCGTTCTGCCGAACGTGCATCCCCGAGCCGTGTTGTCATGGACAGGCGTAGCGTCGCTGCACTTATAAATGGATAAGATCTCGTGGCAGACGCGCTTTAAGTATAAGTCAGGATATATCCACGATGCGATTGCGCAATTGTTTTTTAATGGGTAAAATGGTTCGCGAGGGAACTACTTTCTGCGTGCTGCGAAGCAATGCCCGTAACGGCCACGAATGGTTAGCACTGGTGCGAGACTTTTGAAGGCGACGTTAACCGTACACGTGGATACGAGCGCTCCGAGGATATTGAGCACGCTGCTGCCCTGAGCTTCGGAAGGAATACGAAATTGTATGCATGACAGGAACAGGAGAGAACGTAGGCCGCAGACGTGTTGAGTGGCGCCGAAACGCAAATATCGCTCGCTGCAACTGTTAAACAATTTTGGTAAATATCCGTGTGTATTAATAATATATAATTTGCTTGAAAACTAAACGATTCTAGACATTAAATATAAAATATCTTGAATAGTTTTATTGAGGCATATATATATATATTTCAACTATGTTTATGGAATTATTGGTAGTTTTATCTATCTGGGATGTGTCAGTTTTTCGATAAATATAAAATTTTGACGTACAAGTCAAGATTTAATCACTGGCAGTTGTAATTATTCGTACATTATGTTTACAAACTATATATATTGTAATTTCTTGTGAATCTTTTCAAACTGTGAGATGAATGAAATGATATTTTATATAGGAAAGAACAAAAT